CCCTGCACTCAGCTTCTTGTCCATCATTGATGTACTAAATGCCTGCAGACAGTATTTCGACAGCTAACAAGACTGCATTGGAAAAGTCAAAGGTGTACAGAGTAAAAGTGAATGGGGAGAATAATGTCCCCTGTGGTATCCCAGTGCTGCTGACTGTCTGGTTAGACAGCTGACCCCTCAGTTTCACTAACCATGAGAGATGATAGTTGAGGCCGCTACATAAGGCCTCTGGAGTTCCTGACATAGCAAATAAGGTTAATTCATGTTACATGTACTGGAGAAATTGAACAGCATGATCCTCACAGTGATGTCTGCCTTTTCTAAATGCCAGTTGGTTTGTTGAAGCAGGTGTATGAATGTCTGGCATGAGTCTCTTTCTTTCTCTCTGCATCGTCTCCATAAATTGTATTAAACTGAAAACAGGACTTTAAAAGGCTTTGTAGCATCAATGGATTTCTTCTTGCAACTTTTCCATAAAACTCACCTTGGTTGATTTTGTGATTTTTCCTTTCAACAGAAGACTCTGCTCTTCTTTTCCCAGAAGAGCTGTGGATCTCTGCAGCTCCTCCAACGTTTGCAGCCTCTTGGCTCGTTCTTTGATTGATCCTCTTCTTGTCTGGCCTGCTAGGTTGGGAAGACTATCGTGTCTGGAAGGATTTTCAGCTTTGTTACAAATTATATAGATGGCTACAATAATTCAAAGCTTAGAATAGTATTGTATTCCCTGATCAATCTATTGTGTTCCTTGTTCTTTATTGTGTGGCTCTTATTAAAACATCTGAAGGTAGATGGTTGAAACAGCTTTTATTTCAGGGTATTGTCAGAGTATTGTCAAATTCCTGGAAATACAATCCATATTTTTAAGATATTATTTAGAAAAAAAATGTGTCATCAGTGTTGGGAGTATTGGCCTAGTGGGTTAGAGCAGTGAACTTGTGCTCTGAGAAGATTGCAAGTACCCAGTTTGATCCCCACAGCCTGCACTCTGGGTTCCTGAGCAAATCCCTTAACCCCACACTGCACTCTTGGCACCACACAATGGCAGCCCACTGCTCCCCAAGGGGATGGGTTAAATGCAGAGGGAAAATTTCTCCAGTGTAAGTTAAATTAATTTCTAGTGTTATTTACATCACAATTATACACTAATTTGCATTGGTCTCCATCATAATCCAAATAAAAAAATCCTGTTGGTTAGTGTCCTGTGACTTATTGCTTGACAATAACTGGAAATGTTTAATTTTGTCAGACAGCTTAGATTATCTTTGCATATGACAAAAGTTACTTAATTGTCTATTTAAATAACAGATACTTTAATTGTTTATTTTTAAACTAACTTACTATAGTGTTATTCTTATACATTTTTCTAAGGTCCATATTTGTGTGACAATTTTTTCTATAATATTTTTGCTGCTGTAAACGCCAGAATTTCCCCATTGTGAGACAACAAAGGGATTTTCTATTCTATTCTATTCTATTCTATTCTATTCTATTCTATTCTATTCTATTCTATTCTATTCTATTCTATTCTATTCTATTCTATTCTATTCTATTCTATATGATGGTGCTTGCAACATTAAAAAATGCAGGTTTATCATGTTGCCCTTAAAATAAGTATTTAGTTCAACAAGTAACTAATGAAGTTTCGCTGAATTTTAAGTATTTTCTAATAAATCTCAGGTGTGATTTGTCAAAAGAATATAAAAGAGAATTGTGCTTTTTTGTTAATCCCCAGAAAAGCTCTTTGCACACACATGATCGTTGAAATATTACTAATGCAGCTGAGAGAAAAATCCTGTTTTGATAAAATGTTTCCAGGAGAGTGTTGCTGCAGCATCTGGCACCCAATGGAAGATGAAGCCACGATGGCACATATAAACACCATCAAATGAGAGCAATGACATGCTTCTTTTAACTCCCTCCTCTCAATAAGGATCGTTCATCAGGGAGAACCGTCCCCTCTGGAATGTGTGATTGGAAATTGGGGGACTTTAAATCCCTGTCCCGGACACTCCATTGATCTTCAACACACCACTGGTCCGGGGCACCAATGGTGTGGAGATGAACCGCTGAAGCAGATGCCTCCATCCAGCCAGACTTCCCCATTTTCCTTTTTGTCTAATAATAATAGTAAATACCAACAAATGCATGGGACCCCAAATCAGGCAAGCACATCACAATTTCACCGAGGCAGTGAGGCATCCCGAACCTGCATCAATTTGGAGAGATAGCATGAAGGCCTCCGAAACAAAACAGATGCAGGACGACTGGTTTATATGTGTGTGGGTGTCTGTTTGTCTGTGTGTGTGTCTCTGTGGTTGTGTGCGCCAGATGTATACATAAGCTGAAAAAAAAAGTGATAGTGTTGTCACACACGGTACAAGCTAACCTTTGCAGGGCAACAATCCAACTTTATGATGGCCTTTTCTGTGATGTCACGCATGGAAAAACCTCTAGATTCAGATGGCATTCAGCTGCTGATTCCTTATCATAACGCCATTTCCTCGCTGTTATTACGACGGCAGCAGCCAAAGCTAGAAACGCACAGCTTACCTTTGTTCTCGAGATGCAGAGTGAGGAAAAAAATAGGATGAATGAGCATATTACCCAGTCTGCATTGGAACCTTGGTTGCATAATTTTGCTTTTGTCCATGTGTCCTCATAAGTATGACTGATGGTAATATGCATTTACATTTACATACAGATTTACTTTCCAATCAACACACAGTGACCCAGAGCCGCTTACACACACACATATATATGGCTTGAATGGGGAGGTGTTTATTTGAGAGGATGAAAAGCAACACAGGAATCTTCTGTCTTAAGAAAAGTTCATGTTTCCTTTGTAGGTAAAGGCATTTCAACTGTGTCAATCATACAGTCCGTTGTAATTCTGGAAGAATCTGGTAACAATTATGTTTTGGCATAAAATAGAGCTAAATAGAACTATTGATCAAATGTTCCACTTGTTAAACTGCTTGAGTTTCTACTTTTAGTAGATGGTGAAACCAAAGAGGCCAAACACAGCACTTGATTTCTATTTGTTCCAGATTATATCAGAAATTAAACTGATTGGGCATAAAGCTAATGTTATGTAGAGTTTTAATTTCCTGGTCATATTTCTAATTGTAAGACCACTAGTTGTTAAACAATTATGTTTGCATTGTTTAATAATTGAAAACGCTAAATAAAATAAAGCTTTACATATATTTGTATCATTTAAGTTAATGAAAAAAATCCCAAAAATATGCTATAAGCAGGAGAAAGCAAAGAGAATGGGTGAGAGCTAAGGCTGACATGTATCAGATTGTGATAGTTAGATAAGAGGGTTAGAAAATCTCCAAAATCATAGTACCGTATTTGTGGGGTAATTCTGGTCTATAAGGAACTGTAGGTATTGTATGAAAAGTGGCCAAAGGATGAAACAGTGGTGACCTGATAACTTCCCCATTGTAAAGCTCAACCAACAGGTTAAGCTGCTAAAACCCAAACATTTTCGAAAGTTAGTGCTATGAAAAGGCATACACATTGGACTGTGAATTACACCAGGTTGTCTATTGCGCTGTATAGCTGCATAACCTTAGGGGTCCATGCTGCTCATAATGTTATGCCTTAGTTTTTATGGAGTGATTAAAGATATTATGGGATATTTACTTTAATTACATATTATAAGCAGAGGTGGATTATCAAGGTCCAAAAGGGAAAAACCCTCTAGAAAGATCAGTTCTATTTATTTCTGTTTCCAGATCCACAACACAGACAGGGGGCTTATCACCTGCAGCGAACAGGATAAAGGACAACTAGGCAGGGCTTTCACCTTCTGGACCTGGATTATCCCTCACTCATCCTATAAATTATTAATTTTAACGTAACTGGAAAGCAAATTTTAAATGTAATGTTTGGTTAGTCAGGGCAAGGTTTCTTTGTTGCTTATCAATTTCTGGCTTTGTAAAAAAAAAAACATTTTAACTGTCTTGGAAGGTTAGATGGGATTAGTCTATTCATCTCTTCTCTACAGACTATTTTCAATGTTCTTGATCTTTTTAGTTGATCTAAATTACAATAGATGTGTCCCTAATAGACACCCATTAGACTCTCTGTCAGCCCATGTGCTAAATTCTAACTTTTATTTAGGAATATCCCTGATTAACGTAGATCAGTGCTATATTTTTCACTTATATTGTCCCAAATTACCTGAAACACGTGTTAAAGATTTGTATGCACCTTGACGCTCTATCTCTCTGGTTCTTTTCCCTGAAAAGAGATCAGTCGAAACAAACTCTTTAAATAACACTTCATAACTTATATGTATTGAATAACCAGGAGACATGACAAAAGATTCTGATAGAAATTGCAATCTTACTCAGATAAGAGAAATTGCTTAGAATATACAGAAGGCAGCTGCTCAACTCCAGGCTCACCTCTCAGGAAGTGGCCCAGATTAACAGTTAAAAAAGCATTTTATACATCTCCAGTTTGCCACATCATCATATTTTACATCATACAGATTAGCGGATTATTAGACATCCATCCAACCTTATCAAAACATTACACTTTGTTCTTAGCTGAAGGACACTGCTCTCATCCATTTCCAAATCTTTGTCGTGTGCAGAATGAAGATTATAACTGTATATCCAGACAGAGGAACTGTCCTAATTAGATTAAAACAGCAGTTCTGACATGCAACAGGCAGCCAATACCAAGGTGTAATAAACGTACTCATCTTCAATGATAATTATCCTAACACATGCCTTTAAAAATTAGGCCTGCAATATTTCAGTTGGTAAATCAAGACAACAGGAAACTACAAAGATGAAGAGTAAAACAATGCAATGGGTTTTATTTCATCATTTATTCCAGAAATGAAGATTGTTTTGTATTTGCAAATGTCCTACTGTCTGTGTATACTGGGAACCAATGGATAGGTTCCACACCGGACAGTGTTTCAGTCGACTTATTTTCTCTCTCGGACGAAACCGGAAGTGGAATGTCTGTCTCCTCCTGATTGGAAGCAGAGCTTCTTTAAAGGCTCCAGTCTGTCTTTAAAGGTGAGCTGGCAGTTCATATATCGAAATTAAAATCTTGCAATGTGGTTGCTATGAGCTGTCATGTCGTAGCTTTGTGTTTTGCTTGTTTTCTCAAGGTTTTGAGTAAAGGTGCTCCTTTGTTTACATCCTACCGGCTACTTGTGCACACGTGCGCTGAGCACAGGCACACGTGCTAACGCGTCAAACTGTCAGAAATAATAAGAAAACTAAAACTATATAATGGCAGTTAGTTCACCAAATACATACTGATATTCATGTCTTTTTATAGCTATTTTTTATTCATACACAGTGTGATATGCTGGGAGGAACCACTGGCAGGGCTTCAGTATGCTAGCATGTAAGCCACAAACAAGCTAACTCAATTCAGAGGTACTAAAACCCTCATTAAGCTATTTCATTTCACCGTGACCCTTTTGCTGACTTGTGTCTCTATGTTTGTTCCTTTTTTTTTTAAGTAATTAATTTGTTAATTCAGCAACATTCTATAAAGGTGGTTTCCTATAACCTCGTATTTTCTGAAGTTGTTTCTTTATTTTTATGTATGTTTGAGAGAGTTATAGGTAACAACCTATAATAAAATAGCATTACGGATGTACTGGGTTTAAAAAATAAAAAAGGTAGAAGCATGATCGAGCCTGAAATTCCGTTTATGTTCTGATTTAAAAACTATGCTACAAATAGTTGTTCTTAAAAGTTGGTCTAAATTTTAGACCAGTGGTCTGATATGTATCAGCTATTTGGTTTTTAACAGCTTAGAAACTTATTCCCTCATTGTGTAAATACTATGCCATTATAGATGATATTTATCTAACAGTGTTGCTAGTGAGATAAAGCATTGGGGCATTTTAAACACTGCCTACCTTAAGATTCAAGTATAAAGATACATGATTGTATTGATGGTCAAAAACTTCAGTGTAAAGCTATATGGCTACTGTAAGCAATTTTGTCCTGTGCACTTGCTTTTAACCAGGTTAGAAAACCATTTGTTCTCATATCAAGCTGGTAGATATTTGCTATATGTGTTCCTAAAAAATATTACTAGATTATGTTGATTTACTTCTATTTAGGCTAATCAAACACAGTTTTCTCCAATGAAACTCTGGCTATATGGTGACAGGAAGTTTAGTCATGGATATTAGAGCTATTCAATATATCACAAATATATCTTTAACACAATATGCACTATGTGCAAAAAAAGCAAATCCTGAGGCATGAATGGAACTGCGGTAAATGTCAGCTAATTAGTGCAAGAGTTCCATGTATTCATGCTCTTTAAAACAGTTAGTGAGACTAGCTGTTTGATGCTGAATACATTTCTTCTAAAAAGTCATAAAGAAGTAAGTTCTCAAACAGGAGACATTGACAGCTATATAAAAAAAAGAAGCTGTTTAGATCCAGAGCTTAGTAGGCCCCAGTGTTTTGCTTTTCTACAGAGACAGTCAGACCATGCCCCCCCATAATCACTACTAACCTGCTGCTGCATAATATGAAACAAACATTTTCTGATTGTTACAGCCAGTAGCATAAACTTAAATCAAGGAAATGGGACAAAATACCAATGTACTGTTGGATCTCTATCAAAAAGAATGGTAGAACTCATTAGTGAACTGCAGTTTACATCAAAACTTATAAAAATTAATGACCCACAATCACTGATGAATTTCCTTAAAAGTCAATGTGTTTAGATGCGTGCGACTTCCATTTTTCTGCCTACAAGTCATTTCAGGGCATTATGCTGTTCACATCGGAGTCTAACAGTGGTTTTAGATACATATAATCTTTGATTCTTCACAAACCAAGGGTTAAAGATCAGATCTCAAGAACAAATTGAATAGAGTGTTAAGATTGGCAGTGTGACCTCAGCCTTAGGGAGGCAATTGCTCTATCTGTTAAATGCTGTGTGGAGTTTTTTTTTTTTTTTACTTTTTGGCCACCGACTTCAGTTTCTTATTGACTGATTAGATTACAGATAGATTCAACTTTATTGTCATTACACAGGTGCAGGTTCAAGGAAACGAAATGCAGTTTAGATCTAACCAGAAGTGCAATAGCAGCAAGTGCAGGATAAATAATGGTTCCATAAATACAGGACATGGGTTTCTGCTGAATAAGTATAGAGATGAATACCATTATAAACAGAATCTTACTAATAGATGAATATAATATATAGATAACTAGTGTTATGAACTAAATTTACAGCTGGATATGTACCGAATATAATATACAGGTGGATATTACTATAAAAAGGAATTTTTACAGTTATGAACAATAGCATATATACAGATGGATTTTACTCTAAAATGAATAAATAAAGTTTGGACAGAAGCTATCTGAATTAAAGTGCAGTGGAAGTTAATTGCCTATTACAGTTAAAGTACGTTATTGTAAATGCATATGTAAACAATTGGTAATGTGAATAAACAGCCGGCAGTCAATATTCAGTCAAGTATTTACAGAAGGATAAATCTGCCTGTTCTATAAGTAAGAAAACATATAGTTATCATGTTATGATGTTATGACCAGTGAGGAGAGACTGCGGCAGATTTATTTCATGCCACTTAGCCCTTGGAAAACGCTGGTCCTTCTAGCACTCTACCTGGAATCTCATTAAAGGGAGTGTAATTCATAAGAAAATCATAATGAAAAATTGGAGGAATTTTGAACCTGGCTTTTAGGGCTGCAGCTAACGATTATTTTGCAAATCGATTAATCTGTAGATTATTTTTTTTGATTCATCGTATATAATTGGATAGCCAAAGGTTCCTTAAAGAAGATTTCTTTACATTATCAAACCACGTAAAAATATTACTTTGATATCAAGGCTGCTTTAAATGTGTCACTGTGTCAGCTAAAGGCATGTTTTACCATCTCTGTACTCCAGTTAAATGAAGCTAATATAGTTGACAATTATTTCAATTATCAATTAATCACAATTAATCTGATTAATTGTTTCAGCCCTACTGTCTTTATAAAACCTTTGTACTGTTACCGGGCTCTTGCCTGGTCCCAATTATGTTTATTCCCTTGGTAAAATCACCACCTCTGATTTAATGTCATGCTATGGAAATTTTTTGCGTGAATAAATCAAATTGAATAAACACAGTTGGTCGTTTGTAACTTTTCAGTCCCTGTGTGCTGCTGAACTTTCAATACATAACTGTCGCCCCTTACCAGGAGCTAAGACTCTTCTTTCTGACCCTCTAATCCCTGGTGGCCGGCTTGTGACCATGTAGCGTGGCGTTTATGCAGTGTGCGCGGCCTGGGGGCCAATCATCTCCAGCCATCATGGCACAGACACGCAGGGCTGGAGAAAGCAATGGGCCGATGCTCATTCCATGTCCACTCTTTGTACATGTGATGCTGTTATACTGTGTGTGTGAGAAAGAGAGAGCCACAGAGACTTAAAAAATTAAAAGCTCAGTGTTTTACAGATTGTACCAAGGAGATTTACCAGTTTCAGAGCTGGGTGAGGATTGAGTCTTCAGAGTGGTTGAAATCAGCGTCTGTCTGTTGATGGACTTTGACCTGCTGCTGCTTCCTATCAGAACAGGTCTGATGATACCAGAAGTTAAAGTCTTAGTGCAGCTAATCCATGCCGCCTCAGCTTTTCTAACAAGGCTTTCTGTTTCCAGACATAAAAAAAGCGTCCTGTAATTGATGTGGGCCTGTGCTGTGCCTCTCTGCGGAGGATGGTTTTAGTCAGGGATTCTAAGGAGAAGACAAACTAGTAGTAATGCTGTCTGACCAGTTTTAAAGTACGTTCAAAATTAGATAGACCAATAGCGAATTTCCTCCACATAGGGCCAGATACAATAAAAAACGATAAGTTTGCGGTAATTTATTTAGCATATTCCGCTACAACAATTCTGCCCCCTTGATAATCCACCAATCAAATTCCCTTTATTCACTCGTGTAAAGTCGGGCACCACTCCGGAGAATACGGAAATGCAACCGTTGGAACAGCTGCTTCCCTACAACTTTAAAGAAGTGTGGGAAGAAAATATAGTAAAAAAAAAAATAGATTTATCTCTTTGAGGATTAATAGGAACATATTATCTGCTATGGCTTTAATTATGTCTTTATTTTCTCTGATTTCTTTCATTGTCATTGCAGCTTTGGCCCCTGAATCCTCTAGTCTGGCTGTTTTTCCTCTGCGGGCGCTGGGTTCATGCGAGCGCCTGTTTTGACTGGCCTTTGGGGTAATGTACAGCGCGTACCAGGACCGCGAGGAGTTGGAGGATGAGCTCTATCAAGAGGACTCTGGCCTGTCGGAGGCCGACAGTGAGCTGGAGTTCCACCTCTACAGCCAGCTCCACTACTCCTCAAACGCTGGAGAGATCGAGGAGCTGGAGGCAGGAGCAGAGAAGCAGTATGAGAGTCAGGAAAACCGGCAGGGAGATCTGCTCGAAAAAACCAGAGATGGAGACCAAGAACTGAAATACAAAAAAGGGAGCAGACCTACACCATCTAGCAATGACCATTTAAAGGTGAAGAAGAAGGCCGCATTAAAGAAGAAAGGGAAAATTAAATCAAGAGGTCAGAAGTTATCATCATCACGCTTTGAGGAGGTCATTGTCATCGACTCCAGCCCTGATGTCATCTCCATCTCTGATGAGGACAACGACAGTGATGATGATGGTGTCTGTGCTTTCAAGGGTCAAGGTTCGCACCAGCTGCAGACTTCCACCCCTGCACAAAAGGTAGATAGAGAGAAACATGTATTCATACAGTTTGAGTTAAAAGAGCCAATTTGATTGTTTTTACAAGCTTTTTTTTTTTAGTTGTTTTTCCTCAAGAGTGTTTCTCATGAGAAATAAAGCGTTTAAAAAAAAAAGGATAGGACAGCTGAGCATGCAGAGGCACATCACCTGAGAGTGATTTTTTAGAACCTTCTGTATCCATGCACGACAAAATGAACCCCCAGGACGGTAAAGCTTGCAGCTCAAATGTGAGATTTGTGTGGTGAAATGTCTGATCAGACGTTAGGCTGGGGAAACGTTTTCTGAGAGCACAGACTTGGGGCGTATTCACACCAGCCCTGTTTAATCCGCATTAATCAGACCATAGTTAATTTGGCCTAAAGGTTTGGTTCTGTATGGAGGTTTGAATGTGAGATCCAACTCTGATTTGGACCAAAAAAGCTTAATTGGGTCCTCCTTGAAACCAGGTCTCGCCTCAGTTAAAGTGAACTTTGGCACAATGCGAATAGAGATGTGAAAGACAAGCGGACTGGAGGCCGCTCAAAAAGCTGTTATTGTATTCTAATTGCGTAATAATACAATTATATTCATAGTTTAAAATACCTGTGCAGTTTTAATGTCAGTGCAATTAAGCCAAATGTTCTGCTTCTTGCACATTGTTGCCTCATTTGGAGCCACCTCACCAGCATTGAGAATGAAAGAACAATCTCTGCAGTCGTCTGCCTTGTTCTGCTTTCATGCTGATTCCACTGTTGAAAGATGCTTATCTGGCAAACTTGTCAAAAGATAAAAGTTAAATAACACTGCTGAAATCCTTCAGTTTCTGTGGACAAGGAAGTAGTTGAAGGAGACAAGGCCGAGGCCTTACCTCGCTACTCCTTGGGCTGGGTTGGTTGGTAACTTCTGATTAACAATGAATTTGCCCTCTTAAACATGGATCCTTGTCCAGGCTTGTTTTTTTCTCAGCTACAATTGTTGTTAAACATCTGTATTATTGCTCTGGCTGTATGTCTGGTCAAGTGAACAGGACTTTGACGTTTCAAGTTGTTAGAGGGTCATTCAACATTTTATAATAACCCCTCCATTGATAGACAAGGTGTGGCAAATTAATCAATAGTGATTAATATTTAAAGGGGAACAACGTTTTTTTTTACATTGGCCCTTGATTTTACGTTATTACATCATGTTCTACTCACCCATATGAGTTTTGTGTAATTTGGAGCTGTTCTGAAGACATTCAAGTTATATGCAAGTAACGTCTTCCTATGAGCAATGAGTTGAAGGCACAAACTAAACTGTTCATATTTTATAATTTATGGTACGCCAGCATTCATAACATGTAGGCGAATCACTGTCCCCCATCCGTGGTTATATTTTTTATATTTATATATTTTAAAAACAAAGCGGCGCATGTGTGACTTCATCCGCCAGACTGGAGTTAAACTTTATTTAACGAATGTACATTACACCAGGCGGCTACGCTCTACCCCTTCTATTAATTCGGCTAGCTAAACTGAATCGTTCAATTCCATTTGGAGAGCGAGATCATCTGTGGTATTAGCACTAGACATCTTCCAGGCATGTGAGTAAAACTAGCAGCAGTTCAGTGGACAGGATGAATGAATGGAAGCTGGCGCGCGTCTATGACGTCATGCACACGTCGCTTTGTTTTAAAAAAATAGAAATATAAAAAAATATAACCGCGGATGTCTGGGGGACAGTGATTCGCCTACATGTTATGAATGCTGGCGTACCATAAATGATAAATTATGAACAGTTTAGTTTGTGCCTTCAAGTCGTTGCCCATAGGAAGACGTTACTTGGATATAACCTAACAGAATATCTTTGGAACAGCTCCAAATGACACAAAACTGATATGGGTGAGTAGAACATGATGTAATAATGTAAAATCAAGGGCCAAATGTAAAAAAAAAAAAAAAACAGCCTTTCACCTTTAACTATGAATGCACGAAAGGTGCAATTATTGAATTAATGAAAGATTTAAGTTTTAGAATTTTATTTTGAAGAGTTTACTCTAATGGTTGTAAACAGATGAAAAATACAGTTAAACCTTAACCTGTTCATAATTTGATACTAAGGTTCATGAAATTCTACTAATTTTATAATGCACTAAATTTTCTCTCTAAAGAAGAGTTCCTGGTGAATGAAAAGTTACTGCCTCCTCTGTACCAGGGCCGTCATCCTCCCTGGTAAAGTGAGTTTTAATGACCCAGGAAAACCATTGTTTATTTATTTAAATATTGGTTTATTTGACAGGGACAATTTACATTAATAAACATTTATGAAAACGGCCAGAATTAGCCTTAATAGCTATTTTTATCCCCGGACAGGTGTTGACAGACATCCTAAAAACAAGTATCAAGTTAAAATACATGCAATATAACACTGGAATACATTATGTAAACATTTTTCATATAAAATAATAAAAGGATTAAAACATGCAACAATTGATTGAGTTGGTGCTGACAGGATTTGTGATCAACGAGCCTCTTCCTGAGATGACACTGGTGCTGTTTTCTACTCTTGTGCTGCCCTCACTGAGAAGGAAGCCTGTTCTAAAGCTCTTCTCCTCAGTGGAACCACAGTCTCCTCTAGTAGAACCTCTGGTGTTGAGAGCAGCAGCAGATCACACGTTTAAAAACTGCTCTAGGGGAGGATAGAATAAACCATTAACCACCTTAAAAATGACACAACAATGTACATATTTAATAGGGCTGAGTATTGGCATGGGTGTTGCGATCCGATATGTGTCACGATCCATGGGTCACAATATGATATTATCACAATATTGCAATATCACTATATACTGTGATATTTTACCCAGCTATCAAAATAAATTTTCTTAATCAAAAAACAAATGCTGTATATGTTCATCAGAAGATATTGATCGGTTAGTTAATCGGTATCAATGGTGATTGGGGTTTGAGTCAGTCCACTTCTTCAACTATGACAGCCTCGACTACAGATATGGCGCTGCGCCGCACTGTTAAAGGACTCCACAGCACTATCTGACAGAGTGGCGGTGGGTAAAAACATTTTTTTTTAAAATTGATATTAAGAACTGAACAGTTTATATTATATCAGGAACCCTCCACTGTGGAGGAGTTTAAGTATCTTGGGTCTTGTTCACGAGTGAGGGACGGATGGAGCGTGACATTGACAGATGGATCGGTGCAGCGTCTGCAGTGATGCGGTCGCCGTATAGGACTGTCGTGGTGAAGAGCGAGCTGAGTCGGAGGGCAAAGATCTTGATTTACCGATCGATCTACGTTCTCTCACCTATGGCATGAGACCTGGGTAATGACCGAAAGGACAAGATCACGAATACAAGCGGCCAAAATAAGTTTCCTTCGCAGGGTGGCTGGGTGCACCCTTTGAGATCGGGTGAGGAGCTCAGTTACCCGGGAGGAGCTCAGAGTAGAGCCGTTGCACCTCCACGTCGAAATGAGCTAGCTGAGGTTCGCTTGGGCTTCTGTTTCGGATGCCTCCTGGTCGCCTCCCTCGGGAGGTGTTCCAGGCGTGTCCCATTGGGAGGAGGCCTCATGGAAGGCCCAGGATACGCTGTAGAGACTATGTCTCTGAGCTGGCCTGGTGTCGCCTCGGGTTCCTCCCAGAGCAGCTGCAGGAAGTGTGTGCGGATCAGGAAGTCTTGGTATCTTTTCGTAGACTACGGCCTCTGCCAACCGGCCCCGGATAAGCGGTAGAAAATGGATGGATGGATGGATAGAATATTGGGGACAAGAAAATCACAACATATATATCGAGATCAATTTATTCCCACACCCATAATCATATTTTGTCAATTTTAAAATTTATATTTTTGCAGTACACCACAGTATTGGTAATGCTGTGGTTTTCTGTCCAGTCCTTTACTAGCTTCCTTATAAAGAGACTAATGGCTTGAGCACCGCAACGTTAGAATTGCACCAAATAGAAAAGCAATATTTAATATCCAACAAAATCATTGAATGCATAATAACTTTCTCTGTTTGTTTGGAAGGTTATGGCCATATAATACAAAAGTTTCAACAGCTAAATTTCACTCTGAGACGAACTCTTTTGTTCTGTGTTTTGAATGTGAACATCGAGCCATAACACTAAATATTTAAATTCAGGCACAACAGCTTAGATCTTTTCCACTGCTGCATAGACCTTTGGTTCAGAAGATCTCTGGATCATGTAAAAAAAACTCTTCTACATTTTTTGATATGTTAAGTTGAGAAACGGTTTTCTTTGAACCATGCCGTAGCATGGTTCATTGACTGTGTCAATTTGTCACAAACCTGCTGTGCGTTCGATCAATAGGAACAAAGGGCTGAATCATCTGCGTACATTTGTGTGGGCATATTTGGGCAAACCAGAGGAAGATTATTAATATATAAAGGAAAGAAGAAAGGCAGACAGATCGAGCCCCGGGGTACTGCTGTATTTAGACAGAGAGGGGGTAGGTGACAGCTAGATACTCTTACAGATATTTGACAACTATGACTAAACCTCTTTACCACCCCAGGAGAAAAATTAAACCTTTGCAAATTCATCAGTAATATTTCATGTTGTACGGCATCAAAGGCCTTTTTAAAAACGAGAAATAGCGCTTTAACAACCCCACCTTATCAAGCATTTTTTTTAAATATTCTCAGTGAGGAAGCAAGTTGCAGTTTCAGTGTGTTTGGCCCTAAAGCCAAACTGCATCAGATGAAGTGTGAATGGTGAGCTGTTTAAATTATATGTCATTCGTTCTGCTACAGTTTTCTCCAACACCTCTGTCACCGTAGACAAAATACTAATCAGTTCGTAATTAAAAACTGAGAATTTATCCGCAGGTTTAAAAAGTGGGATTATATCAGCAGACATTCCTTTTTTAGGAAATGTGGCCTGTGCAGTTGTTTAATTGATTAATAATTGTTGTAATTGGGAGAGTGAAGTATGCAGCCAAGCCTTTCAGCTTTAAAACATCTAAACTAAAGCTGTGTTTTGTTCCTGAGGGTTCCTGACCGAGGATCCCTGCAGTAGAAACACGCCTTAGGAATGGCTCTCTACATCAATAATACACACCCCAGGAACACAGGAGGTTCTTAATCTAGACTGCTTTGAAAATTTGAACTTCCTGGGAATTTTGAGCAACTTAAAACTATATTAATATTATAAAAAATTGAAAAATTGAGATTAACAATTTTGATTGAAACAATTGTCTCTTAAACATGGAATACTCTACTCCCACTAAATAAATGTAATCAAGTTAATGATGGATTTTTCTTTTTGAAATATAATAAAGAGGGAACTGCCTTTAAGGGATTTTAGCTTTTCTTCTCCAGGAGAAACAATACAGTAAATGTGCAGGGTGCTGTATAACATATAGCATAAAACGGAATTTAAAGAAATACCTTAACCTTCTTTCTTTGTTAATTACATAACAGGTATTGTATCTAATCTACATCCACTGACCTTATGTTCCTGTATTACATTTTTTGTAGTGAATCCTGCCTTTACACTTTAATATCTGATGTCAAACAGCAGAATAATTGCTAATGAAATCATCCCAACGTAAAAAGGCCTAATGTGTTATTTTCCTGATCATTTAGGCGTTGCAGAAAGGAAGGAGTCCCTTGGTTCCGGTCGCTGTGCTTTCCAGCAGCACAGAATCCTCTGAATCCCAGTCAGAATCGGATTCATCAGATTCCACTGATGCAGATGATCTGGAGAACTGGATGATCCTGGGTCAAGGGAAGCAGGATGGAGACCGGTCCATCTCACTGAATGTAGAGGGAGGATCTTACAGCAGTGGCACAGGTGGGTCCTTCCCTCATCTACAGCCTGCAGCGGGTTTGTCGATCAAAGTTTGGACAATTTAATACAATTCTCTGCACCTGAATATGTTTGACCAGGGAAATGAAACCACTGAGTAATTTTATGTGGCTCAAATAATCCCGATTTACCTCGTCTACCTGCTGCACGTCGATAAGGAGCGGGCACTGCAGAAACCCTGTCGGCGAACAATCTGTGTGAATGCATGTTTGTATGTGCACCATCTGTGTCGGCATGTTTACCAACTTGTAAGCTCTTAGCATTCCTGGCACTGACGGCGCCGTCGCTCGCCTCTCAGATGCATCTTTAAGTATGCCTGTGTGCGTTTTGCATTAATCTGTGAGTGAGAGAGTATTTGTGTTTGTAAGATATTCCTGCTTTAATCAGCATGCATGCGTACATCCACGTGGATACCAACAGTGGTAGCGCTAATGCCAAAAACAAACAAACGGGTTAAAAAAAATAAAACAACGCAGCAAACGGCGAGGAGGGAGGAGACGTGGGAGTAATCAGAAACTGAATAAAAATGTTCCCCTGCAAATCTCCTCAGATCTACACATTATCTTAACCTGCAGCCTCAGCAGCCTCTCCAGCTCTTCCTCGGCCCCCCTCCTCCTCCCTCCGACCGACCTAACGCTCTCCCATCTCATTCTTTTATCCTATTTTCTCACTATTGTGCTCCTGCTCTCCCCTTTCTCTGTCTCTCCCTCACCATTTCGTCCTCATTTGAATTTCCCTGGGCTGATGTTTCTGCAAGAGTGCTCACTGCCTCCTCGACACACAACTGGGCTGAAGGAGGGGGTCTGGAGCTGGTGGGAAGGCTGGAGGTTTTGGCCTGGATTTTGGGAGGAAAGGAGGATTTTAGGTCTCTGTCTTTCTGCCCCTCGTCTGGCTTCTCTCTGTGATCTTTGGAGCTTGACCTCATGTCTGCATATTGGGGGTCATGGGTGTGGTGCGGAAGGAGACTTAAAGTGAGCGGAATGGGGGAGGGCTTTGTCCAAAAAACAGGGAAATAAAGGGAAGGAAATTAAGGGACGAGCCTCAGTAGTCCTGAACTGTGCCTCAATTCTTCACTGCTGTCTAATTCCAAGCTGGGTCTGGGATATATTGTATTTTAAGCTTTTAGAAAAGCGTGTTTTCTTATTGCTAGGATCGATTTTATTTCTACAGATATTCGTGTGTGTAGTTAGACCTTGATCTTTGTGATGAAGTAGGCCACAATCTTTTATAGCCATTAAGATGCTCAGTGTTGCTTATTTTTAGTTGTACATACCCCCTGATGCACCAAATGTTCAATAATCCTTTCAAGAACAGAATGGCCACACTCATAGATTGTTAGGTTGTGCTTTCTTTGCTGAAAGCTACTGGCCTTTTTTCTATGTCCAGATTTTAACTTCATACACCTCTTTTTATCTAATAAATTTCTCGAAGATATTTTATCATGTAATTAATTTAGGTTAAATCAGAAAAGCAACAGTTATTCACACAGCTGCTGTGTAGATAAAACAGATTGAATGTTGTAGCTCTAAAAAATGTCTTGGCATGTTTTTATGTATTGTAGACACATATAAGGGAGTAGAAATTGAATGTAACACTCAACTGTTTCGTTTTTCAAATACAAGTGATTACAAAGCACAATTATTTCTATGCTGCTCTTATATAAGGTGGTTAGTTGGGCTTAGGGAGCCTGCCTGCATTCAGTGCTTAGCAGACATGCTGCCTATAGCTTCCCAACTGTTTCAGAGCAAAGTTATTGTTATTCAGCCGTGGATGGGAGTCCAAATGGGCCCAGTGAAGTCATTTTCTTGCTCCATTTTAATTTAACACTATTGTGTCGTATCCCAGCTGTTCTATGTAATTGAGATCACTGGGTTTTAGATTGTAACTTAACTCTGTTTTTTCTTTTTTTTTTGTTGTTGTTCTATTCCATTTTTACTGTTAACTAGCTCCCATAGATGGGCCAAAATTGACCAACATTTATTTACCCTAGAATAAATGGAAACCCTTGATTCTTATAAAGGGATAAAGGGTCTTGCTCAGAGACTCAGAGTGGCAGTCTGTGGAAGTGGGGCTCAAACTCATACCTCAGGATTCCAATCTCTATGCCCTATCCACTAGGCCACCACTCTCCGATGGACAATATATAAATAAACTGCTCAAAAATGTCAAAAACTAAGAATTTAAATGTAAAATAATTTGGCTTAGTCAAATAATTTGAATAAAAATAATAATTCAGTTCAATTCATTTTATTTATATAGCGCCAATTCAAAACACAATTCAAAGGCACTTTACAGTTCCCCAGATCATACAGTCAAATTGATTCTGCTTCTGTCTTCTTGAACCCCAGTCGGCCTCGGCAGATGGCCGCTCACACGGAGCCTGGTTCTGCTGGAGGTTTCTTCCTCTCCACTGTCGCTACAAGCATGCTTAGTGTGAGGGATTGTATTTGAGTCAATGAGTCGATGCAATCAACTGGTTTTCCTTAGATAGAAAACTTTGAATCAATTTGACTGGATGATCTGGTTGAACTGTAAAGTGCCTTGAGATGACATGTGTTGTGAATTTGGCGCTATAGAAATAAACTGAATTGAAATTGAATTGATTCATAGTTTTTCTATCTAAGGAAAACCAGTTGATTGCATTGACTCAATGCCATCCTCACACTATGCTTGGAGTGACAGTGGAGAGGAAAAACTCCCTTTTAACAGGAATAAACCTCCAGCAGAACCAGGCTCAGTGTGAGCGGCCATCTGCTGAGGCCAACTGGGGTTCAAGGAGGTTGCTCCACCTTTAGTTCATATTTACCTGTATGATCTAGTCATTCAGTCATGTTTTGATCCAGCTGTCCTTTTCACCCCCACTACACGAGAATTCATAAATGAAGCAAACATTGTCATGTCTACAAAAACCAGAACATTACTAAACTTACCAAACTGGTTTTAGACAGATGATTGTGTTTCAGGCCATCTAATCTGCCTGGTCTGGTAATAAGAACGTTTTCCATGTCTGGATAAAAAAAAAAAAAAAAACCTTGATTTTAAACACTTTAGACTTTCAAGTTTTATTTTTTCCTTCTATTTAAAATATACTTATTGGTGCTTAATAAATATTGTGGTTTTTACCTTGAGATATCTCACAGCTTGATTGTTAAATGTAATCTATCTTTTTAGATTTTTGTGAATGCAAACTACAACTGATTAGGAACCATTTTGGTCTTTTCTTCAAGTATATTTTTTGCAATAGCAGAAAATGTCAGGTAAGAATAATTTCAAGGCCATGGTAAGTATGGCATTGTTTGTTTTCAATTGGGAGAATAACTATAAAATTGAAATGATGGCAGGTGGCGCAGTCATTAGTGCGCAAAACACATGTACGGAGGCCTTAGTCCTCGACGCGGCCGATCTGGGTTCGAATCCGACCTGTGGTCCTTTGCTGCACGTCTCTCTCCCTCTCTCATTGCACCCTTTCCTGTCAGCCTGCTGTTGAAAAAATAAGCCACTAGTGCTGTAAAAACTAAAAAAAAAAAAATTAATGATAATCCACCAAAATGTGATTGTCATCATTGTGGGGCTGTTGTTTCAAATATCGACCTCTTTAAAGCATAAATTAATGCTGCATTAAAACATTCCCTATACTTGTATAGCCTATGTAGGGCCCTCCTTTTATCTGGTGATCCTTTTTTAGACCAAAATATTGGCTTGATTATAAATAATACTTGTTGTCATATTTGTGGCTATGGCCATAGATACTTTAACATTTAGTGATTGAAATTTGGACCCAGTCGTTTTGCGTTTCTTGTGTTGCAGATCAGGATAGTAAGGTTACTAGATTCTTTTTTTGAGGGGTTTTTGATTTGAGGGAATAAACAGCAGTTTTACGTCTCTGATATGGCGTGTTTGGTTTTCAATAAGCATAAAGGCAATAAGCCAGGGCTTTGCATCGTGATTATTTTATACGCCATGCTGAGAGTTGACTTTTGCGTACATGTCTTGGTGACAGGTTCACACAGCAGTGACTAATGGTGTTTGTACGCCTAAAGCCTGTCTCAATACTACCATCAAATTGCATTCACTACACTTAGTCTCCAACTCTCGCCTGCGGAGATTGAATCCGTTCATCCTCTTCTGCTCGCTCAGTCTCCTACATGGTGACACTTCAGAGACTTTTACAGTCTAATCTGTTCTTCCTCCAAGTCAGATCTCTGTTTGTATCGAATGCATTGACGTACATGGATCCTGATTGGAGTGATTATCTGTCAGCAGGGCAGCTGTTGGTAGGTGGATCTGTGAAAACATGGTTGATTAAAGATGTAAAAAAAGCTCAGTGAAATGGGCAGAGTTTGGGCCGTGTGACTGTCCAGCAGCAACCAGACGGAAAAACAGCGCTGCCCTAAATCCAGCTCAGTGCCTCTCCCGCCTGGAAAAGGTGTTCGCCTATGTCCCTGTGAAAGAATTCAGGGTGTAGGCGGGGTGTGCTGGAGCTCAACTTGAATCATGAGTGGTTAAACTTCACTCACTGGTCACACTTTTTTTTTTTTTCTCTCAGCCAGTTTTCTTCTTTGCTTTTTTTGTGTCCTTTCTGTCTTGGTCACTGCACACCAAACTTTGTTTGAGGCTTAGAGAATCGGCTCTAGCTCGCTATCAGGGTGGCCGATCACATCAGACTGCTCCTGAAATTGTGTGTGTGTGTTTGTGTGTGTGTAATACTGTGAGTACTGCAGGAAGAGTCTAGGGGAACTTGGAGTGTTTGGAATAGGAGGAAAAAGGTAAGCTCTTCTCTTCTCTTCTCTTCTCTTCTCTTCTCTTCTCTTCTCTTCTCTTCTCTTCTCTTCTCTTCTCTTCTCTTCTCTTCTCTTCTCTTCTCTTCTCTTCTCTTCTCTTCTCTTCTCTTCTCTTCTCTTCTCTTCTCTTCTCTTCTCTTCTCTTCTCTTCTCTTCTCTTCTCTTCTCTTCTCTTCTCTTCTCTTCTCTTCTCTTCTCTTCTCT